TGGAATCTCAGCCATCGAATCTCGAATGCTGAATATGGAATGCCCGGGGACGGGACCGTAGGCCTTTGCGCAAGTGGGCTTGCCCATTGGCTTCTGACCCCAACAATTAACAATTAAACTGGCTTGATCTGGAGCATCAGTAGGGTCCCATTTAGTGTCTTGGTTAGGTGTCAGGCTTCACTGCCCACAGCGGCCAGGTCAAGTCCTAGGGTCATCTGAGTAAAATAAACTGAATGTCAAGTGGTGTTCACGAGGTCGTGGTGTACTCTTGCTGTTATATATGTGATATAAATTTAAGTTGTAAGGTTTGGTCTGATAACTCACTGTCACACCTCCTGCCAGCACCAAAGTCATCACAGAGACTGATGTCACATATAGACAGTAACATCACGTGTGGTATCAAAGATAATCCCAGCTAACATAGTCTCACAAGACATTTACAACCAACAACTTATGGGTGTATGTTTTTTCATTTTGCTTAGTTTGATCTGACAAAGCTCACTATACCCCTGCCAAGATCAAAGCTTCTATGCCAGGAGAAAAAGGAACATAGTAAAACATAGAATGAAAAAATCCTCTCATATGGTAGAGTGTCCGAGGCAACCCTAAGAAATCACATTTGCCAAACAACAACAACAGGTGCCATACTTCCATGTCAAATAATAATTCATCTCAGTTTAAGAGAATATAACATCGTGTTTCATAGTCCAAAGACATTGACTTCAAATGGAATCATAGAAAAAAGTGAGATTAAGAAAAGACATTCTTGCAAACATCAACAAAAATCAGAGAAAATACTTCAAAATACAATAAAAAATGTTCACTTCATATTAGGGTATTGATATCTTTTTTTATTATGCATCAACAAGACGTGACGTTAGTTGGGTCCGGGGTATAGCTCACGCTTCTCCATCCAGCTGGTATCTGAAAATAGGGGATGTATATGCAGCTCAAAGCAGCTGTAGTCAGGTTGGTCCTTCATCATCGATTTCTTTGTGGAGCGTCAGGACAGCACATCTTCTGCCCTTTTCTTCGCCATAGCACACATCTTTCTGTCTTTTCTTCGTTATACCCACCCTTGTAGGTCGCTTTCTCCACACTGACTTTCTTTCTCCACCTCCTGGTTTCTATAATTTTCCAGACGAGCTTGTCCCATCTGCGTTCTTCCTCTATACATCTTCATTTCTTCATTCCCAGATGAATTTTTCTGCTCCATCTGAGTTTCTTTTTATACATCTTTGCTTTATTGGTATTCCAGATGGTTTGCTTCATCTGTATTTCTTTTCCGCAACATCATAATTTTCAAATATATTCCAGAATGAATTTTTCTGCTCCATCTGTATTTCTTCTCTGCAACATCACTAGTCGTCATGTCGTAGACGATTTTCTGTTTGCCTGCTGCCGACGCCCTTCCGCCGGGATGGTGCCGTCCACTGTTTAGCTTGTCACTCTTAGAGATGAGATCATTGTGGGCAAGGCAGGTTCTGGGGCACCAGCCTCCGTACGGGAGTGTCGGCGAGACCAAAGACCATTCTGCAGGTCTTACACCTCCAAGTAGTGGTGTGTGAATCCTCCCTGCTGAGCCTGCCACCAGGGTTCGTTGTGGGTGAGTGATCCCATTCCACACTTTACAAAGTAGAAAATATAAAATCTTTTAATCCTATACCAAGGAGGTATTGAAAGAAGTGACGTGGTGTGTGGTTTCGTGCTGCCTCTACTGTTGCACCACCACCGTTGGTCTCTTCTCTGCTCTCAGATGTAATTTTTGCTGGCCTGGCCAGGTGGTGGTGGACAAAGTATTATCGACAGAGAAACAAATCCCAAAAGGATTAGTTGGGCGCATCTGCAAAAAAAAAAAGTTTACTTTATATAAGAATAATGTTTCTATAACCATTATTTCCGTCACGACAATAAGTTCTCACTCAGGTTGGGTCGGGGAGGAAGCCTGCACCACACTGAATATCATTTATCAATGAAAAAGGTCAAAGAGTAAGAATTACAAATATAATAATAGCATAAAAAATACACTGAGTGAAGCTCTGTATTCATCGCAATATTACTTATATCAACCCATCATCACCAAACATATTGGGTTACGCATGGACAAAAAGACGGGGATTAGTGTGGCCGGTTGCCGGGCACAGCTGACGGGGTCACCTGAAAGGGGTGGGGCGAGGTCAAAATTTGGGTGAGAGGCGAGGCTGGCTGGCTGGTGTGTTGGTGGGTGGAGGTGGGGAGGAGCCGAGGCGGTTGATCGGGCCAGACCAGGCTTTGTGGGGCGGGAGGGGCACGAACAGAGGGGCAGGGCGGGGCAGGTGATGTGGAGGAAGGTAAGGAGGGTGAGGTAAGGATTAGGACAGGGAGGAGGATGTAGGGTTAGCGATGTTAAGTTATAACAGTAAAAAGACACCGCTTTCACCACTGAAACACAATGGCTACATTTAACACTGACCAACATTGTTAAAACACCTCTTTATACAATCCATTTATTAATCTACTCAATGACATGCACACATTATTATCACTATTATATCGGCAATAACACATTTATGCTTTTTACGTTACTTGGACATCTAATTTCGGACACACCTGAATGAATACACTTCCCACAGTAGGTAATCTACCCTAGGACGTTCTGGATAAGACTCAGTGGTCCTGGCCAGGTGTCTGGCTAGTGCGGTTGCAGGCTCACCGCTCACGCTTGGGCTGGGGCGGGCAAGGTCGGTCCCTGTGGTTTAAATTTGGTGTGTCAACCTGAATGTGTGGTACCACGAGGTCTGTGGTGTAATTGCTGTTATATGTGCATATTCTGGGCTCGGGCGTTTGGTTCGACAATCAC